GCCATGTGTATCAACAAAGGCACCAATTTTTTACAAGTGTGATTTTCCTTAAAAAATATTTTAAGCTGAACTAATTGAAACTACAACCGATAAAAAATCTGTTTGAGATACAATAAATATCTAACAAAACTCACCATAACCGTGGCAAAAAAGCTCCATGCTTTAGGCAGTCGTTCTGCGGCATAGTTCACCCTAATGGGGAGCCAGAGACCACAATCGGAACAAACAAGAAACATGTAGGCGACCTTCATATGAACCTACAATATTCAAATCAATAATCAATATCACTGGAACAGAAGGATTAATTAACCCTAAAAAATTGGAGATAACTTCCGAGTATCGAAAACTGCCCCAAATGAAGAAAAACAGGCGTCATAACCCTTGTGTTTCACTTGGGTTTGTGGTTTGACTCTTTGCAATTCCATCCCCAGAAAGTCCTCTATAGCAACACTGATACTTTCACAAAATTGACGACTTTCAAAAAAAAATTCACCTATTAATTTCATAAAAAATGTGATTCACACAGGCTTAATAAGAGAAATGCAACAGCTAGGATATGCCCGCCCCACCTTGCGTATCTGCTTTCCTCCATCCTTGACCATTTGACTCAACAGCATCCCTGTCCATCGGGTGCAATCGGTATGTGCCAAAAGGGCTTCCACCGAAGGAAATAGAGCACCGCAAAAATGACAGCCATAGAATATAGCAGTATAATGACCAGCAATCATATGCGACTGAAAAAAACAATTAGCAGGCCTTTGTGAAGATGTGGCGCTACAAAAAAATAACATGAAGGGTAAGACAGCTGATGAATCAACCAACCTGAACGTCCGTGAATGTCTTCCATTTTGCCTTGATAGAGCAGCAGGAACTTTCAATTTCGCGGTTCTTCCTAGCAGAATCTACTGGAAGGGGACCGTGAACTGAATGTAGCGAGGATGAAGCCTCTCCCGCATGTTTCTCCATGCCAAATGGGAGGTCTCGTAGAGGCATTGCCTCTTTCCGTGATGGTCCTTCATGTTTTTCTCCATTCTCTTTTTCTGAACAG